AGCTGCAGGGTTTAAAACTCTGTGGAGGGTCAATATGCACGCAACCATATTCTGATTGTCGGACGGGTGGTGCCCCAGGCATTTAAGGTGAGAAGGGAATCGCTGATGGGGCATCAGCCTCACAAGTGTCAAGGTCAGCTCAGGGTGCTAGTGCAGACTCCCTTGGTAAAGATGACCAGCAATGTCTCAACAATCAAATCCACCACCTCAGGGTAGGACGCCGTGACAAGGACAAAAATGCAAGCATCAACCGAGTATCATCTGACATAAATTACAGAACAAAGCAGAAGTTTGTTCAGAATGAAGGAGGCTGTTTTTTTTCAGTGGTAGTAGATTTCAGCAACAGCTAAAGGGCCTAATAATATACACACATAAATATACATGAAGTAGTTTTCCTAAATTACAGACACAGTCCTGGCTTTTTATTATTATACAATACATTTTTCTAATTAATATTTTTTTCTCAATAGTTTATTTAGCTGTTATCATTTAAAACAGGAATGTCAAACTCATTTTACATTGTAGGTCATGTACAGCCAACTTTGATCTTAAGTGAGCCAGAGCAGTAAAACTCCTGTTTCTGTCAGTGCAGAGAAGTTTAACTAAACATTTAATCATTGAGGTATTTTAATTCAAGAAAAAGAACAACAATTTCAAGAAAAACATCTGTCTTTTTCCACATGATAAAGAAGTGCTGCTTTGGGCTTAACTTGTAAGAAATACATGTGTAAAATTACTCTCCAGCAGTTATAAAACAAAAACTGTTTTTTATTTGACAGAATGTGCCCTTTTTGGGGGTTTTTTTCCTTGTGAACCCACTGCATAAATAATACATTTCTATAGTAAATGGTGAAAAAAACATGAACTCCCCATCATTTAATTGATTATCTGTTACTTTCACTTTGGAGTAGGACGAGTGGAAATAAAAGAGGTATCAAAGCAGACACAGATAAAGTCTAAAATATATTCCCTCCTTCAAAATTTCCAGAACTGTCCAGTGGACCAGTTTGGTGTCTTCGGTGGGCCAATTCTGGGCCCCAGGCCTTATGTTTGACACCCCTAATTTATAGGTTCAGCTTATTTGAATTTTCATAAATTGAGAGATACATAGCTTCCATTTATGAAAGTGGTTTAAACCAACAAGTTCAAACTCCACACATATGCAAATAACCGTGCTAAAATTACATTCCAAGCCATGCTGTTTTTGACTAACGCATGCAGCCAGGTAATAAATAGCAATTTTTTTTAATCTCAAACTCATCTCCACTGCCAAACTATTGCACACCAATTGGTTTGAATTTTGCATTGATAATGAAGTGATTGGCATGCCAGCGTCACTCCTGTGAAATGCCCACAGGAGCTACATAATTTGGATTGTTTGCTGAGATTTGTGGATTCTGCGATTTTAAGGCTCTGGGAAGTTACGGGAAACACTCAGTTTGTCATCTTCAATTTTTGTCCTTGCTCGAAGTTGACTCATCAGCACTCTAAACCTTTAGTCAGAGCCATCTGCTGAAATCCAAAGACGGCCATTGCTGTTTTCCCAACTGCAATAAATCATCAAGAACGGAAAGACAAAATGACGTGTCAACCAGCGGTGGTGAACCATATAAAATTTTAGATTTAATGCACACATGCGCAGTTAAGTTTTTTCTCTTACAGCTGATTTCTCCACCCCGGCTGAGTTTAATAATACCTTTAATTTGGTTAATTTTATTTTTGACACATGTGCAGGATCACAAATTTACAATTTCAATGATTTTAAGGATACAGACTGAACAAACAAAAAAGGCTCCTCTTGTTTTTTCTCTCTGATTGCTGGCTGGCTCAGCTCCAGTCTCAGGTCAAGCCCATGGAATGAGTCTGTCAGGTAGTCTGTTATGTTTCCTATTTCCTCCTCTGCCGTCATGTCACTTCCCTAGGCAAACAAACAACTCACTGGTCCAATGCAACACTAACTGTCAAGGTAACAGAGAAAAGCTTGGTGTGGGTGGACGGAGCCCAGAGCTTTCGCAGCTGTGTAAAGTATTATCCATCTGCTGGGACCGAGGTGATCAGTGATCACTTTGGATATTGTGTCCTCTGGAGGAACTGAGGAGGCTGTCTGTCTGGTTGGACTAAAGTGTAGCTAGAGAGGGAGCGTCCAGTATCGTCATATTTGGATGATGAACATTTGCGCTATATGACGTTGTTAGCATTAACTATAGGCCAAGAGGATGTGGCTGATTTGTTTTACGTGACTAAGGCATACCATGGAGACTAAGACGCTGTTTAAACCTACGTCCTGTGTAAAAATATAGTGCAAAAATATAGTGCATTTGAATTATCTAGCTGCTCCTGCTGAATGCTGTGTGATCACAACTGACCTCTCCTTAAAATAGATTTCGCTTTTGCTGCTCAATGGAGCAAACTTATTGTTCCGAGCAATTCTGATGGAATTTTCCCGCAAAGCTTTGCGAGCACACAAAACAGCAAACCCATTACAACGTCGTCGTCATCGTCAGCGGTAAATGCACTGAACTTTCCACCAAATTAAACTACTCTATGTGACGGATAAAGACACATTTACATCAGCAAACGCTAAATGTTGTTGGAGTGCATTTCCAGTTGGAGTGTGTTACAGCAGCATTATAACCTGTTTACAATTTGTACTTGGCCCCGGATCTGGCCAAAGGAGGAAAAAGAAGGGAAAACACACACACACACACAAACAAACACACACACACATCTCACAGCAAGGGATTATGGGTGCAGCTATTCTTCATCTCATTGTGGCTCAACAACAGGCAGAGTGTGGGGTGGCAGGCAGGCGTGTACGTCGCCGGACGAAGAATGGACCAGACTCGTCGAGGGACAGGTGCCATGTGGCAGAGGATGTGCGGGGACACAGATGGGCACCCCTGGAAAACTTGGGGGACTGAACGAGCAGCCAAGGGCCTCCCACCCGTACCTGTGCTGTGAATGCTGCAGCTGAACGGGATCCGGCACCTGTTCTAAGCAGATACAGACGACCAGCAAAAGCACAGAGGGAGGCCAGCACATGGCTGCCAACCCGGGGAAGGAGAAGGCTAGATTTCCATTTACCCATAAGCACGGCCTGATTACCAAATCAGCACAGGCGGTAAAGCTTGCGCGCTACTGCAGAATGTACAAAAAAGGGACTGAAAAATCGTTTTTTTCTCCTCTGTGCATTTCAGTAAACTTTTATGAGCGCTTTCAAAATGTTTATTTAATATCTCAAAGCAGAAACAGCACAGAGAAATAAAAAGGTATGAAAACTTATGTATACTACTACAGATGGATTTTTTTTTTCCTAACATGAGGTTTGCAAAAATGCAGAGCGTGTCCTATTTTTGCAGCCTGGCCTGCATTGGTGCCTTTCTCTCTACTAGCATGGCTTGCACTGGTCTATAGCACGTATGCTGCAGCGCTATCTGGCTTGTTTTTGACTGCTGCAGATTTTCCCTGGGGTGGTATAACTCTTCACCTAAATGTGGAGGAGGATGTTCCTATTGTGCTTCCTAATTGCAATGTGGTTGTTCCATTTAAGAGATAGAACATACGGTACTTATCTGTTGTGTGTGTGAACTGAAACCGTGTGTGGGAATAAACGGGGCGACGTTACCTGTGCTGATCCATGTTTTCATTGTGCTAGTTACAATATGGATTGCAATGCTTAATTTTTTGACAGCTATTCTTAATTGATACTCGTGATATCCAGGTAAATGGCTAATTTCTAATTTGGAAACCCTAGAAATTGGTTGCATATATTTTTATGGTTCCGTTTTCCCTTTATACACAGTTATGTAAAAAAAATATATATACAATAATATAAAGGGCTGTCCAAACATAGGAACATAGCTCTTTTTAAGTGAAAGGGCAGCATGCCTTTGAGCTTAAATCATGCCCCATCTTTTCCATTTTAGGAGGCCCACATACTCCATTTGTAGCTTTGGTTGTGTTCTCTTGCGCTAACAGAGTTTACTCAGCATGCATCCTGAAAAGCAGACGCAGTAATGATTTAGATGAGTGATGTTATAAGTTCAGCAGTGTGAGAGAGCCCCTTTTAACAGCTACTGGAGAGGCTAGACAAAGCAAACCAGCAGGCTGTCTGATGACAGCTAGTGAGACACGAGGACAGCCATTAAGGTTTGATGTTTCAGCACTTATCATTCATAAGATGCATGCAGTTACATTATAGCAGTGGTTACAATGTAACAATCAAAAAATTTAAAGGCATTTTGCGCTGTTTTAATGATGAATGTGTGCAAAAAAAAGAAAATATAGTAAAAAAAAAAAGAAGTAAAATATGGTATCTGGTGAGGGTCTTGTAATTATTCTGTTAAGTCTGGGCTTATTTTCCAACAAAAGGAAGACACCACAAAATATTAAAAATAAAAGCCATGTTTAAAACTACCAGGATAATCCTATAAAGAAGTTCCACTATCGCCATCAGACTTCCCAGATTCCCACACTGGATTAGGATATAAGTACTCAACAGTATAAATCACTGTCAATGCACTACCACAAAAAAGAGTTCTTACTCTTTAAAATTAATCAAGAAACTTGTGTATTTCATGTGTCTAAAGCTCTATCAAGCACATACATTTTGCATTCAAGAGAAATAGTTTGCAACCCTGCAGCACAACCTATGGACTTGATGATTCTGGATTAAATGGATTAAAATTTTCAGTAGCAAAAAAAACCCCCAAAACTGGTCAGTTGCATCTATAATATTCTTTACTATCATCGAAATCATAAAATGTGCCAAATCTACATCTCTGGAATCATATTTAAAGTCTCCTTCGCCCAAGGCCTGGAAAGCTTTGTCTCGCGTGGCTGATCAATGATGCAAGTTCCTGTACACAGGAACAACAAGCATCGCTGTATCGCTGCTTATTCAGAGATGAAGTACGTCATTTCTGACACACAGCATTTCCCGTGCCTTGATGTGTGCTGTTTACGCTCAAAATTTCTGGGTAAGACTGCTTGTGACTGACCTTGGCAGAGGGTAAGTCTGGCATAATTTCCATCCTCGCTCCCATTCCTCTGACTTTACTCTATGGCTTTAATATTCGGGATGTTGTTGATGTCTGAGCTTGAAGGAATCCCTTCCTGCTGGATGCTCGGCCCTGTTTCCTTAAAGACTCAACATCAAAAATGACACACATGGAAATGAGTCACACAGTTGTCCCAGGAGTTCAGACACTTGAGCTAAAGTACCATGTTGACAGGTTCAAAACAGGATATGAGCTGGATGGGTCTATGTTTATTACAGATGGCAGAATACTTAAAGAGCAGTGATAGCTGAAAGCTCTGATAAGCAAATTAAGCAGCTAGAGTCACGTACCCACTATGAGCTACAAGTGCCCACACAAAGGCTGGACTGGAAGTCACAAACCATTAAGGCTAATAGTCTTACAGTAACTTACACTATAGTTCAGTTTTTTGTTTTGTTTTTTCCAATGCAGAAGTAACTCTGTTACCGAGCTTGGCATGCAAACTGGCAGCAGGCTCCTTGGACACTTAAAATGTTTCTCAGTTCCTTAACAACACAGAAAAGCAACAAACGTTTGCAAATATTTATATCTAGTTTTTGCAGAATCACAGCTCTTTTATGCACATTGCACACACTTTAATATCACACCATTTACACTCAGAAGGGGCAGAATTCCCAAAGGGTTAGGAGCTTTGATAAAAAGGACTAAATAATTGTAGCCCATGGCAATCTTAAATAAATTAATTTACAAATTAGTTGGACCATAGTTTTGCAGACAAAAATAACGAGAGTGCACAAATTACGGTGAGTAACAGCTAAATGGATGAGGCGGCTATTAATAACGGTTACCTTTTCTGCCCAGCTACTGTCATGTCATTGCATTATATTCATCCAACACAGCCAGCGAATACAAAACTCAGTTCATTTTTCCCCTCTACCAATTTAGTGGCTCTTCAGTTTTAATGCTAATTGTTTGCATTGCAGCGAGTTGGACCACAGCACACCTTGTGAAAAATAAATTGCCCTTCTTTTGAAACAAATAGCAACCTTCTATCTGCTTAGCTTCTGTCCTTCCCATTGAGGAAATCCAAATAAAAAACGACCTACCTGCTAATTTACAGAGACGTTTAGGCGTCCAATCGAAGTGTAGTTTTGTCGGCGTCAGCCTCTAGCGGACATGTGAGGTACTGCAGGCTTAAGCCATTTGCTCATCCCAGCACTACGAAGCCCCGGCTACGTGTGTTTATGTCTATCCTGTGGGTTATGCTGCAGTTTATATTCGTTTATGGTAGATTATATTCCCTTGTTCGGGAGAACAACGGGTTTGTGTTTAGGTTTGCTTACACAAGAACAGCGTTATTTTAGAGGAGACGTCAGTTTCCTGTAGCTGCGTCTGCCCTAATCATCTTATAAAGCAAGAGAGGTAAATCATCAACGCTCCCGCCATTGTTAGATTCATATTACGCGTTTTGTGTTAACATTCAAACATTTATAACTGAAAGTTGTGGCATTAGGCAGTATGCTTTTATGATTCATATGAGACTGCGAGTGTACAGCACGTAGTTGTCAGGATGGCCGAGCGGTCTAAGGCGCTGCGTTCAGGTCGCAGTCTCCCCTGGAGGCGTGGGTTCGAATCCCACTTCTGACATCATTCCTTTTTTTCGCAAACTTCGTGCCCTACAATGTTAAAAACAAGGTAGGGTATTTTCTCCTCCCAGTCTCTGTGGTCTGAGTTTTTCACACTAACCTTTTAGCACAGTGTAACATGGTTTTTCATCACAGTATAGCTTTAAATTAGAAAAGCTGAACAACCATATTTGTAACTATTCTCAAAACAGTGTTATGTTTTTTTTTTTTTAAAAAACAGTCAAAGTTTAGATTAGGAAAGTAGTGGGGATTACATTTCCTGTGTATGGAATCCAACATTCAATAGAAGGCAGGCTCAACGTGCTAAACCTGTTATTTATGCTTGTATCTGGGTTCATATGCGGTAATACAGCATATTTAATAGTGAAGTGAGTTTTCACACAACCTTTGGTACAAATTTTAAATCCTGGGTTTAAGATGAGGATCCAGGGTTTAAGGGAAGGCCCTTCGTGGACCGAGGGTTTTTAAAATTGTTACTCAACAGGCTGTGCAATCGCACATTAATGCCACAATGGGGTTGTTTTAGAGGTAACTCGGTATAGGAACAGGTATGGCTTTCTATGAATCTTACTGAAGGATTCCTCCTCTTAAAATTCAATTAATATTTAAATAGATTGTCTATTCCTTTGTGAGATTTTTGCTGACTTACTTTTTCTTGTAAGTTTGTAATTCCAGATATCAAAGTGTGTATATTGCTATAAATGTAATAGCACACAAAGGAGGGTTATCATTGGCTTTAACTTTTTCTTTCATGAATCCAAAAGCTATTAGAACCACTGATTGATTTGTAGCATATGGTCATTTGGCTCAACAATTTATGGTTAATAAAGGAGCAGGTCTTGTACCCTTAAGACAAAGTAGTAGATATTCAGTTTATCCTAAAAGGCTAAATAGCTTAGCAAATAAAAAGATAGGGCCACAGCTTGGTTTAATCATGCAAAAAGAAGAAGGTGTTTGAGTACTTTTAGCTGTCACTAATAGGATTCATTCCTAACAGGCTGACTGCTCTAAAAATAGTGACTTTTTCCCCCTTTTTGCTCCAAATAGAAATGTTATGTGAGGACATTTGCTGCACATGAATCCCAACACAGTGACACAAACATATAAGCACGCTTATACACCACTTCAGTGCTTCACTGCACAATACAGCACATGTAAATACAATGAACTACATATTAAACATTTCATGTAAAAGCAAATCCATCATCATTATTGTTTTATACCCTTAGGACTTAGGACTTAGGACTTAGGCAAATGAATATTTTGCTTATCTTAACATTTACACCTGGAGAGAGCTCGTAGGGATAATGTGCAAGGTCAGGTCAGGTGACTTAAACAGGGATTTAGGGCGATTTAGGGCGTCTTCCAGTACTTTCACAGGTTGAAGGCAGAGGTTGTTGGGCAGCTTTTATATTAGCATGTGGAAAGATTTTCCATTTGTGTTTTTAAGTTAAGATAGTATAGACATGCAAACTGGTTGGTTGGTTTGCCTTAGAAACACCATTCTAAATCTAGTAGTATTTAAGTTGCCAGCATTTGTGGTTGCTGTATGGATTGTTGGCTTTTCCACTCTATAAGCCAGAAGAATCAGTGATTCCAAAATGAATCCAGTTTCTTGACAGTGTGACCATGTGTGACCACTGATGTACCTTTTAAGTGAGAGTGTTTATCCCATCTTATAGGCAACCTTTGATTTAAACGTCTAAGCCTCACCCTTTAACTGGAGCCATGTATCGGTGCTTCACCTTCCTCTACGTATGCTTCATTAAGACTGTGACTTAATATAGCAGGAGTCCTGGTGCACAGCAGGTTGCACACTAATTAGGCCTGACATTTTAACTGCAGCCAGGAGGGGGGGAGTGCTAAGCCTGAGCATCACTGCACACGTGCAAGCTTGAAGGATGATGTGCTTCGGGGAGTCCTGCTGTGACTATGATCCACACTACGTCCGCATGCAGTGGAGGCTGCAAACCTAATTTGAGTCATTTTAAAGTCCATTTAATGTGGACTAAAAGTTCTTAGAAACCTCCATCAGGCTGGCAGAGCATGCCTGACAGAAGTTGATTAAGGAGAGGACTCTCCCTAGGAAAGCCCACGATTAAAATATTAGCCTCAGTTAGCTTCTGAGTCACTCCTTCCCCTCATGACTCAGTAGGGGATGTGGAGGGGAGGTCTTTCTCTTATTTTCTTCTGTGAGTCAGGATATAATGAAATGGTCACCTCCACCCCACTGTGAGCTGTCAAGCTTGTTAAGACTAAGAGCAGATGGTGTAAAGGGTCACCCCGTGGATGTGCGTGTAGTCTTCACAGGTGCTCATGTGACTAAGCACTTCTTGATTCTCCCCACATCATAAGGACAGGGAGGGACTGGTATGCCGTCTGTGAGCCCCTGATAAGGAGAGACTGCCGTGCATCCTGTGGCGGTTTCCTTGTCCTTGAAAAGATTGATCTGACCCAGAAGGATATTTAGACTAGAAAGGTGCATTTTTTTTAAATTAGCGTCACACGCTGTGGAGCACATACAACAAGGTGGAACATATGCTGAAATGTTTTGAGCCTTGTGACTGTTTTACATGCACCGCCACAGCAATCTGTCAGAGGAGACTGTGCCAGCCTGCCAGTCTGGGATGAAGTAGGCTAATTAGGGGGGCAGTTCCTGTAGTATTTCTATGACATGGCCCCAGAAAATAAATGGGAAATTTAAATGCTGCCATTTACAATGACACGACCCATGAGACAATTCTTTCTGCTGGCCATCATGTCTTAATTGCTTTGTAGGGAGGTACCAATGAATACATATCATGAGACAGCAATTAGAAGAGTAGGTGTGAAACAGGTGATGTTCAGCCGGTAAATCATTTGAAAACCTGCAAAACCTGGTGGATATCCTTACATATTTTAAACAATATGTCAGAGCGATACAGTCATGGTAAAGGTAAACACCCTCTTTAAATTATAAGGTTTTACATATAAGGAACATTCAGCTGTTTGCTAATACGATGCTAAAGAGGAGACACATCAGCAATGATTTTACAGAAGCAATTGTTGGTGACCATCAAACTGGGAAGGATTATAAGGATATGTCCGATATGTCCAAAAAAAAAAAATTCAAGTCCAAACAGTGAGAAAGATTATTAACAGATTGAAAACAGAAAGAGAGCTGCCAGTCTTCCCAGGAGTGAACTTCCTGGCATTCATCCCAAGGTCAGACAACGCAGTACTCAGAGATAATTTAAAAAAATGGGTGGATGAAACCAAAGTGGAGATGTTTAGTCATAAGGTACAAAAACCCAACAAATAAATGCTTCAGATTCTCATAATAAGAATCTGAAGCTAATAATAGGCTGACTTCAAACTAAATCACAGTGAGATTAAGTTACAAGTCCAATCAAATCATCTTTTTGGAGGTCTATCTTTAGTTCTGTTACAGTAACAAAATTACTTTCAAAGCACTACAAGAAAGGGTTGAATATAATAATATTTTTTTCATTGTTTTTTACACAGCCATATATACTAAGGTATATTAAGAAATTGTATCAGACTATGAACTCATCTGTAAAACTAAAGTATTAGCGTACTAGAGTCAAATGTAAGGCCATCTGTCAGACAGCAAACTGAGTCATGCAACAGGACAATGATTCCAAAGACACAAATCTACAACAGGACGGCTGAAAAAGACAAGAATCCAGGTGTTGCAGTGACCCAATCAAAATCCAGCCCACAATGTGCTTGTGGTGTGGCCGTAAGACAGCTCTGCATAAACTGACGTTTAAAGACCTCTGAAGTGATGTTGTAAAGAGGGGTGGGCCAAAACTCCTCGACAACAATGTGAGAGATAAAGTCAAACAGAAAACAATCAATACAAGTTAATACCTCTCAAGGCGGTTCTATAAGCGACTGAATCAAAAGGTAGACTTAGCATTTCACTCACTGCTTCTGCTTTTTCATGGAATTTTGTTTTTAAAAAAAAATGGACTCGGTGTAATATGTCGTGTTTTGTATATTTTTTATTGCATTGTTAATCTGTGATATTTAAAACCTTAGAATTGATGATGATCATGTACTTTCTTTTTGCCGAGACTGTATATTTAAATTGTGAGCACAGCAGACTACAATAAAGACTGAAACATGAAAAGATAAACAGGCAGGTTTTGTGCTCCTGAGAAAGACAAAAAGAGGCGCTCATGCTTGCTGATGATCAGTTAATTGAGTGATCATGAACGTGTAGTTGCTACTTACCCTCCTAACCCCCATGGAAGCAGTATGGGTGGACTTTGTTTTTCACACGCTGCTTCAGTATTTTTGTTACATACGTAATGACAGGATGTGTTGTTTCTCATCTGCCATGGACCCGATTATATAAAAGACCAAAAATTTGGTTTTGACAGTGATGGGTCTGAGATGGTTTTTCTTGTCTCCACTGTCACTGTGACAAATAATAAGAAAACCTGAGTAACAAGACCAGGCAATGTCGTTGAAAGCTATTCTGGGCATTAAGGAAGCAATAAGAGGAAAAGGAAGATGAAAAACAAAATAGAAAAATGCTTC